CGTCGGGAATATAAATTGATGATTGAAATTATTAATTTGCTTTTATTTAAAATACATTATTTTATGTTAAAATCTTTGCAAAGTTTACTTTTAATTTAAATCCTAATTTAATATAAGTATAGTTAACATATCATATTTTTTTCACTTTACATTATTTATTAAATTTATTATTATTCATATTACTATATTTGATGAATTATATAGATACAATATCTAATATTTAAAATTTATATTGATATCATAATTTGTAAAATTGTATATTGCGTAATATTAGCATGCGAGAAATTTATTATCTCGCTCGAATCTCACGTCATTCATTTTAATCTTTTATATCGTTCTCACCTGATTCGTGATAAGATTTAAATAATTTTGATTGTACGCGAATAATATCGACGAGTAAGATGGGCCTTAGATTTTTTTCTTTTTATTTGAATACATGTTACTAATTAGATTACAATCATATTTCTATCATATTTCTACTAATTAGATTACAATCATTTTTCTCTTTTTATGTAATATTTTTATTATTCAACTTTCTTAAATTCTCTTTATAATATGAAATCGAATTTTTTTTGAGTCGAAGATTAATTACGCGTATTACGCAAACATGCGATATTATTATTATATTAACTTTAAAAATTATTATCATAAATTTCATATTTTATTATTAATGTTGAATGGCCCTCGCGATCGACATGATTTGACCGTCGTGCGCATAAAAATCGAACAAAATCTGTCAATATTGATAAGCCGGTATTAAAAGAGTATATCTCCTTTCTTATCTCTGGCTATATGTGGCCTGAATCTCTGGCTATACGGCCAGAATTTCTGACTAAAATCGACGATGGAGCAACGTGGCCAGGAGCAACGAAAGGTAGGTCTAATCTGGCCTGAAGAATCACAAAAGATTAGTCCGTATACTAAATAAATAAAAATGAGTGATTTATAAAGATTTTATATATATGTGCGATTGCACGTAATTGGGAGGGCGGAATGATCAAATGCCATTTATCTGAACTATAGATTTGTAAATATTAAAATATTGCTTTCCTGAATATATTTCCCATCTAAATGATCGCGGTTAGGAATCCCTGTGCTGGATTAGCCAGCAAAAAATAGAAGGATTCGGTTAGGGAAAAAATTGATGGGTAGATAGAGATTTTATTAAATTTCGCGAATAGAAACATTATGAAAATTCGGGTGGGTAAGAATTCTGGTGGGAAATAATTAAAGCAAATAAGATGTTATAATTTTAAAATTTTTTTATTTAAAAATTAGTAATTCTATGATAAATATATTTAATTTTATTTAAATGTAATTATTGAAACGTTAATTAAAAAATAATATAGATAGGTAGGAAAAAATTCGGGTAAATAAAAAAAATATTATAAATTAAAAATTAAATTTTGGTAAATCTATAAAATGTTAGTTATTAAGTTTTAATTGAGAAAAGCAACACGGGATAAAATAAGTAGGGATATAAATCTATGTAAAAATTAAATTGTAAAAATGTTATATAAATAAATAACAACATTATTATAATTTAAAAATTGATGAGTCTCCAATCGGATAGGTAGGAGTATTAAAAAATTCGGGTAAATAGAATAATTTAAAAATTAAAAATTTGTAAATCTGCTCAAAATGACAATTGTAAAAAGAACAAAATGTAGTAAATGGCATTATTCGGTTCGCATCTTAAACGCTTAATAATTTTCTTTTCTGAATTTATATAAATTCATAATATATATAAAAATGCTATCTATTACATTCTGTTCTTTAAATATATTCTCGGTTGAATAAATTGATTTGTTTAATAGCAAAAATTTAAATTAATGGAGAAATACATAGGATACTGTAATAATATAGATTGCGGTATTATTATAATCAAAGAATTGTAAAAATTGATGTATCTTTTATATAAAATGATAATTGTAAATAATATAAATTAAAAATGTAAATAAGTTATACTAAATATATAAATGATTGTTATCAGTATTGATTGAAAATGTTACATTAAAAAAATAAAAATTTTTCTATCATTTATTTTCATTATTTGCGATAAACGCGAATTGTGTTTATGTGTATGAAATATTGAATACTGATAACAATTATATACATTATATGAAACATAAAAGATATAAAGATATATCTTCATGATAAGTAAACACTTTCAAGAGGTTAGGGCGCTCACGAATTAATCTCAGTTTTTATTATACTGCTCCTCCATATAATACATAATATCTCTTGGACTAAATCTTTTAGAATCACAATAAAGTGCTCTATCTGTAAAAAAATTTACAGATATCGTATCGTTGCGTATTTTTTTTTAATAATTTGTTCAATTCTTGCATTATAGCAAACTCGTGCAAATTTCCTGTTACGTTTCGGAACGTACAACTCATTTTTATTAAATCTGGTTTTGAATGGATCAATTAACGAAGAGATCACTGTGTTCTTTCTCAAATCACCGCGTTCTATCTATTATCTGCAATAGCTTTTTTTCTTCAAATTGTGTCTTCTGTGGATTTTTTATTTCTATGCATACTTTATACTTCATATCAATATTTCCATGGTAGTAGCGACATTTCTATTTCTTTCCTTCAAAATAGACAAAATAAAGTATATAAATATTTCTCAAAATCGATTCGAAAAACTTTCTAATATACATATTTATAAAATTGATCTGTAGATCAATGAAATTTTTAGATGAAATTTTTAGAAAATTGTTATGCTGAACAATTGATCTATTAAATCAAATTGTCAATTACGACTCGTAAGTTTCGCATTGCATGTATTTCACAGTAATTTTAAAGAATCAATATAATGATAAAATATTAAATTATGTATGTTTGAAGTCTCAAGTATAAAAAGTTGAAATATACCCAATAAGTTATACTATAGGATAAATTATTGGCAATTATTGTATATCAAATATTATAATTTACAATCATTATTGTATTAATATGATTAATGAAATTATGCAAAAGAATTAATAAACAGGAACCTATTATACTGCTACTATAAAAATTTTCTTTTTGTATATTTGTATATTTATATTATTACAATAGTGTTACAAATATTTAAGTATTACAAAACGTGTACAATGCTAATGAAATGTCGAATTTAAGTATATATATATATTTAATACATTTTTCATAAAATTCTTTGATTGCATATGTAATTACAAGTTTAATTATGCAAGAGCAAATACAGTCACAAGTTACGTACTTACAAAAATTTCAGTGTATACAAAAAATAGCAAATCTTAAGTGTCAAAAAATATAAAAATATAAATATATTGAAAAAAATTATTAATCAATATATTGATTTTAAGCTTAAGTAACATTTGTAAATTAGCTTTTGAGACAAATAATAAAGTATAAAAATATATTGATCTATATTTTCAGATATTATTATATTTATTATGTAAGAAATGTTGTCTTATACATAACATATATAATTTTAAAATTAATTTATATAAATATCAATAGATAATTATAAACATATCTTAGCAGCATATGAAGTCTAAGAAAGATTTGGAAAAGTATGTTATATTTCTTTAAAAAAATATAAAAATTGCATGAAAATTTTATTGAATATATTCAGCTTTTTTTTTTTTTTAATATTGAGAATTCTGATATATATATCTAAAAAAAAACAAATATGTACATATTTCTGAGCTGTATTGAATATAAATGCAGATATTTCTTAGATAATAAAAAATTTGAACATTTTCAATATAATTTTTATATATAACATAATGTTTATCTTTGTATAAAAATATTTTTTTTCTACTATGTAAGGATAATACAATTCTTACAAATAATAATGAAATTCAATCAATTAGAATAATCAATATAAAATTTATTCCAAATAATTTAATCCAAATAAATTTCATTCAATCAAAATTATCTTATCTATATACATCATATACATTCTTAATATAAATGAAAAAAAAAATAAATCACTATTATAATAAAAGACTACTATGTAAGGAATAGCAGATATACAGAATATACAGATTTCTTTTTCTAGTATCATTAACATATCAAATAATTATATAATTTGATAAAACAAAGATAATATAAAAGTGTTAAAAGACAAATTATTATTTCCTAAATATCGCAAGACAAATGCATTATATACTAATAATTTGTATAAGTCGTATATCAAATATATATATATAAGCTTACGTTGAAATACTGGCGCGTGTCATGAGTTCAAATAATAATATAGTTTAATATAATAAAAAAATTGTCAAAAAAGATTCTTCTGTCTAAATAATGCAAAATGAATATATTGTTTATTAATCGTGAATTATTGTTGCGGATATTAAAAATATGACATTAATTGATCATGCCTATAGTAATAATAGAAATTGCATTGGTAATTATGTTATTTGAAGTATATAATGTAAGTCCGGATCGTTCAGTCTTTTTTCTGCTATCATCATTTTAGCTTTTTGACGATATGCTGCAAAACAAGGTGCATATTTATATATATCTCCCTCTTTAATCACAATCTTCCACTTTTCGCAAAGTTCTATTTTCAAACGTTCAGGAAAGAATTCTTCAATATAGAATATAAAAAATGAAGACATTGCCTCTTGTAATGAAATCTCTGCTAAACCTAAATTACTTCTAAATTCAGTAACTTCATCGTTTTCAATAAGTGTCGTAATCAATTGCATCGCGAGAGGTCTATCTTTACATTTTGCGGGGAAAAGTTTATAAATTACGGTGAAAAAAAACATTTTAGGAATATTAGGAAATTCATCATGTAGAGACCTGTCAACAGTTGTGACACAGCCCATCATATCAAACATTATACTCGGGTAAGACAAGACTACATTACGCAATGTGAGAGAATTTTCCCGTAGTGTGGACTGCCGAAATATATTCCTATTTATTTCTATTCCAAATTCTATTCCGTATTTATTTTTCATTAGTGATATCAATAGCTGCATTATTTCGCTTCTATAAGAAGGACTATCTATTTTATAATATAGAAAACATAGAATTGTGATATCATCATTAAACGGCATATTGTTAGAAAATTTGAATTTGCGTACGATTTTATTTTTGTCGAGATACATGAAAACAAGTGTTTCCAAAGGACGTTTTTTAAAGATATTACATGCGGTACGCATATATATTATCATTGTATCCCGAATAATATGTTTTGGATTAATCTCATTATCAAATGTTTCAAGATTGGCGAAGTTTAGTAAATAAGTTATCTCGCGGACAGTTGAATAATAATTCTGAAAAGCACATAATTGCTTTAATAAACGTATATCATGTTTTTCAGTTATATCTCGGACTACACGAGTTTTCATCTTCACACTTTCAAGTTAAGTTAGTAAACATCTAACTTTCGTGTTGAAAAACTAATTGATTAAAAACCGTATGTTACAAAATTAATTTTTCTCGAATTATTTATCCCATGAATCTTCTGTTTTCCTGAATATATCTTCTCTGAAGCTATGAAAATACCAGTTTCACGCATTTATCTGCTGAAAAACATGTATGTACAATAAAATAAATTTGTTTTTTTTTCTTTAAATATCAGTTAAGACACTTTTTTGCATGCGATTATTGTTAAACATCGCGTCGGGTTTATAAATATAAAAAAAGAATAAGAAACGAGATGTGTTTTTCGATGAATTTGAATTTATCACATTTTGAGATACTAATAATGCAAATTAAATTTCTGAATAATTAGTAATGAAAACTTTTTGTTGTTATGCTGTACTTACTAGTGAGATTAGACTTCCTTAGACATCGTTAGAAAATGCTTTTGAATTTGAAACACAAATTATTTTATTTAATTGTATAATTGATGGAAATATTAAGAAAAAAGATCAGAGAACAGTATTATATAACTAATAATTGTCTCTCTTCCTCTCTATTATGTTGAACCCAACGTTCTATTTAGAATAAGAGCGTAAACGGATAAATGTATGTGTATGTGTACATACATGTCCTTCGTATTTATACACGTATATGTGTTACATGCCTGTATATATCAAGTCTATATGTAGAAAACTCGGCAGAAAGCATTTTCAATATGTCATTATCTACATATTCTTGTCTATTTCTATGACAGATTACTTTAACATTTAAAAAACAACGTTAAAAATTTTGATTATTATCTAATGATAATATTAATAAAAATGTTGTCTAAATAAATTGCATATAACAAATATTTATAAAAACTGTAAAGGAATTTATGATTTTAAAAGTACATATGTTAAAGGACAATGAACTATACATGTACATTAAAACAAATTTATAATAATAATTACATGATAAAAACAGTAATAATTACATTATTTATTGAAAATTATATCTACAATGAGTGTCGTATTAATGCCGTTAATGAAATACCATAAAGCATTAATATTATGCATAAATATACGAAAAATTAAAATTATTAAAAGATTAATAAAAATATTAGAAGCATTTCATTTTTATTCTCTATTTTTATATTGCAAGAAATATGAAAAAATTATAATGAAAAAGTCAAAATTTAAAT